ACATAATTACCCTACCTTTTAACTAGATACTCACTATTATCAAAATTAACACGAGTGATCTCGTATTGCATTAGATTTATAAAAAATACTCGAGTCCAACGTAATCAGAGATTAGTGGGGGCGCTCAATGCAAATGAACTTGATGAAGGTACAAGGGCACTAGTTCGGATAGCTCAACAGCAGGACTTTGCATGCGAGATTAGGAATTTAAGAGGAAATAAACATATTCCGAACCAAAGTCGAATTCTTAAGCTGCAACCGTTTTTAGATAAGGAAAACATACTCCGAGTAGGGGGTAGACTATGTAATGCGCCAGTGCCATATGAACAACGACATCCCATTATATTGTCACATTTGAATCCACTTGCGTTGCTAATTATGCGACACCGTCATTTTCGTATGTTACATGCTGGACCCCAATTACTTTTAGCTGCATTGCGAACTCAATATTGGATAACTTCAGGGAAGGCATTAGCCAAACGAACAATAATGTCTTGTAGTAAATGCTTCAGAGCAAACCCTAAGTCAGCTAGATATATTATGGGCGATCTTCCAATTAATAGAGTTACACCAAACCGAGCATTTTATGGTTGCGGATTGGATTATGCGGGCCCCTTTTTAATTTAAAATCGCGAGTCCGTGGGCCAGCCAATATTAAAACTTATATGTGCGTTTTCGTCTGTATAGTTACCAAAGCGGTACATTTAGAGCTTGCGACTGATATGAGTACAGATGCATTTCTAAATTGTCTTCGTAAGTTTATCGCCAGACGTGGCAAATGTAAACATATTTACTGCGATAACGGTACGAATTTTGTCGGAGCTAAAACTGAATTGTCTGAACTGTACGATAAACTGTCTAAAATTGAATTTCAAGAAAATGTAACCAATTTTTTAGGAGAGGACCGGATTCTTTGGCATTTTAATCCTCCATCAGCTCCAAACTTTGGAGGTTTATGGGAAAGTGTGGTTAAATCTGCAAAGCGACATCTTAATAGAATATTATTTAATACCTCTCTAACTTATGAAGAATTGTACACGGTGTTGACACAAGTAGAATCTTGTTTGAACTCACGACCGTTATCCCCCTTGTCAGAAGATCCTTATGATCTTATTCCATTAACTCCAGCACATTTTTTGATTGGAGATACCATGGCTGCATTACCGCAAGAAGATCTCACCAACGTCAACACGAATCGATTGGATCGGTATCAACATTTGCAGCAATTGGTCCAACACTTTTGGAACCGTTGGCGCACGGAGTATTTACATCAACTTCAAACCAGAAATAAATGGAATGATGCATCAGGCGAATGTTTTAAACCAGGTACCTTGGTAATAATTCGTGAGGACCACTCTCCACCATGCAGGTGGCCGATGGCACGAATTACGGACATACATCCTGGGAAAGATGGCGTAACAAGGGTCGTTACGTTAAAATGTTCCGGTAATCGCTTCTTGAAGCGACCTGTTACCAAACTCTGCATATTACCCTGGCAAGAAGAGAAATCAACCCCGGAGAAAGAAGTCCACGAAGAATAGAAGATTGTATCAATTTAATTCAATCGTACTATGTATTGCGTTACAATTTAGTTCATGCTTTTATGTTCATTTTCACTTTTAGTTATATTTTTCTTCTCTTCTCTCATGTACCCACCTCTTGTACTTATTTTATGTTTATGTCACACTTATATACTAGAAAGCCTCCAGCTTTCCAGGGGGGCAGTATGTTAGGAAATTATATTCCGTGTTCGACCGAGTTATCGATCGGTGTTAGTACCGAGAGGTCCGCGATACTGTAGAGGGAGTTTTGGGCCAGAGGGCGTGAGAGAGGGGAAAGGAGGAGGCTGTCTGTCTCGTTATAGCACGGCAAGCGAAAGGACGTGCGTAAAAAGTATTCAGTTTTGTTGGTTGAGTAAAGAAAATTACGGAAACCAGTGTGTGCTTATTCACATCCCATTCCCCGGACTTATTACCAGAACTTAGAACATAACACTGTGAGAACCGTGGTCTGTTCATTTTGTGGCTCACATTGGCATTCTCTCCTTCCTTTATAATTTTCTTTTCGGGAGCCTTCACAACAATTCGGAATATTTTTGATACACTGCCTGCAAGATGCGTTTTCCGTCCTTTTTTGATTTCATCAGAAGAAGCTTCGGATTCAGAACCACCACCTTACTCAAGAACTGGATCAAAGTAAAAAAATCCATCATTATTACTAAACTACGTATCCGGTTTCTTAAAGATTGTTTAAAGAACGATGTCGTTCCGTCACACTTGGAACGTTTTAGACAGTTTACTAAGTTTCGTCATTATAGATCAAAAATGAAAGCTAATAACATAATTTATAAAGTTAAAAGTATGTTACGCACCGAAATCTTTGAAGCGTACAGATCACTTGACTATTTACATCACGACCTCTATAGAGTGACACAGCACACGTTAGACTTATTACCGAACAACTTGTTTAATAATTTTGCACACAGACAAAGCAACACCTTGTCATTCTATCGGGCACGCCACGCGGGGAGACTAGATAATAAGTTACAGTGGTTAATTAATAAACGAAAAAAAGCCCAAGTTAAGAACATACAACCGATCAAATTTTATAGGAGCAGCAAACATGTAC